AAACCATTTCAGGTGACTACCTCTTGAAGCTCATGGAGAGAATGCCAAGAGTGTGCAAAGCAGTAATCAGAGCAAAGGGTGGCTATTTTGAAGAAACTAGAATATAAAACATGTTTTCAGTTATTTCACCTTTTTTTGTTAAGTACATAACTCCACATGTGTTCATTCATAGTTTTGATGCCTTCAGTGAGAATCTACAATGTAAATAGTCATGAAAATAAAGAAAACGCATTGAATGAGAAGGTGTGTCCAAACTTTTGGCCTGTACTGTGTGTTATACAAATGGCACATTATATAGCCTTAAAACAGACTAACTAGACAGACTACTCAAGTTAGTTTGTAGTTAGGATCAGCATCCACGAGAACTGTGTAGATTCAACATTGGACTGTGAAGAACACACAGACACATGGATGTATGAAAGAAATAAATCCCTGGGGGAGTCTGGGGGTCCTCCCCACAAACATTTTCAATTAAGTAGATGCCATTTCCTGTATTCTAGTGCATTTTAACACCATATTAGCACCAGATACACATATTAGCACCGGTGGTGTGTTTAGTATAAGACAGTTGTTTTGCCAGTGAACCTTGTGAGTTGTGATGGAGCCGACTTTTGTAACGTTACTTTTGTTAAATGTTGCTGTTGTCCCTGGTTTTATATGAGTAGAGGAAAAGTATGCTAGCCACTAAGCTAATTTATACAATGTAAAATGCCATAGGCTTGTACTAAAAACATTAGCATGTTGTATTTGTGTGTTTAAAGTGTGTTTCGAATCAACTTAACTTTACAGCACTTCACAGAAACCCCGCTGTCGACTAGTGTTTTGGAGGTTTAACTGCAGAGTGACACAGACACACCACTGCACAAGTATAAATGCTCACAACGCCGTAGGCCACAGTAAAGGGTCTGCCACACAAGTTTCAATCCCCCTTAACTCTGCACGCTGTTGTCTGTTTAACATTTAGCTTTCGCTCAGTGCTACATCACCAGCCACATCACTGGAAGAAAATGTTGGCATCGTATGTTTCTTCAAACCACAGATTCATAACATGGGCACATTTCATACGTATCATATCAACATCTCTAAACTGATGTAGTTTATGAGCTGACACTGTGATCTGGAGGTGGAGGAGAGGGTGGATGGCGTATCACCTAGGTGAGAAGACTGCCAAGCTGCAGACCATTGTTTGTGACTCACAAACAACAAAACCGGTTGTGATTTAGCGGGTCATTGCTGTGTTTCCAGCAACTTCTTAGCCACCAAACACAGTTGTTTTTTGTCCTTGTGTTTCTCCCAGGGTAGTGCCACAGATAGCGGTTGATTTTTACTGAGACGTCACTGCATTTCCAGCAGGGATCGGACCCCCAAAATGTGATCTTTTCCTAATCATAACCAAATGGTTTTTGTGCCTAAACCTAACCAGAGAAAAAAACATTGAGAAACAAAATTGAGACTAAAAATAAGATAAAAAACACACTGTTCAATTGCACTAAAGGGAAACTCAGGGACTTTGCTTTCTGTGACGCACCTCTACAAACGTCATGACCACTGGTGGAACTGGAGCTGGAGCTGGAGCTGGAGCTGGAGCTGGAGCTTCCTCATCCTCCTCTGTCTCGTCATTGTCTGGCTCCTCCACCTCTTCATCCTCAGCACCCTCCTCTGTCTCGACGCTGTCCTCCCCTTCTTCAGCGCCGTCATTCTCCTCCATCTCTTCTTCTTCTTCTTCCTCCATCTCTTCATCGTCATCAGTTGCAGAGTAGTCTTTGGTGACGTTGACGGCATACTTAAAGACAGCCCTCTCCTTATCTGACCCTATAAATGAAGAAATTCGGTCAATTTCCAGAGCCACTACTGTAGTTCAGTAGTTTGTGTGTGTGATCTGTTTGTTAGGTGAACCCACCCTCTTTTGGTTTGTAGGTGTCGGTGACGTCCACCCTCTTTTTGGAGCCGACAGCCTTGGTGGAGGTATTGATACCAACTCTCCCAGGGAAAGACTCGATCTTTGTTTGTGAGCCATCTTCTTTGACCTGACAGGACAAACAAAAGAAACAACAAAAAGAAACAATGCATCACACAAAATCTGCAATCAAAGTAGCTTTTGCTGCAGCCCTTGATTAAATGTATATGTTGATGAGGTTAGACTCAAGCTCTGCTCACTGACCAGCCATTCAACAATGTCAGCATTGACCTCAGCAAAGACAAAAGGGCAGTCATATTTGAGGTCTACTTGTCCGATCCGGATGGCTTTGACCGAGGCTGGACCGCAGCAGTAAACATCTACAGGAGAAGAGACAATTAAATCATGAAATGCTGTAACAAACTGCTCAACTTAAAGTAGATTTTTTTCCACCACAGAAAACCACTGTCTGATCTGAATTCCTCACTTTGCTGCCACGTGATGTCCTAATTGCTGTATTGTCGGCAACTGGAAAATGTTTCACCTCGTATCTAAGAGGCTTCGTCAGTCCTGAACTTAAGACTCCTCTTGGATAGAGTTTCCTTTTAATACAAAAAGAAACTCACATATGCAATCATAATCTCCTGCAGTCAAAGAGAACTTCTACAGGTGATAACTTTAAAAGGATACTTTGCAGATTTTCAACCAGCTTTGTGTCATAACTGTGGGTAGTATGTGTAAATGAACTATGGTAAACTTCCCTCCATCTAACCAGCGCCTTCATCTTCCTGCTCCCCTCCCAGAAAAACTCAACCTGATGATGCAAAACACGTCTTGCTGGCTCTCGGGCTGTTGCTCAAACTGCAGGCTGAACTTCCACATTTTTGTCTTGTCTGTCAGAAGAGGACCACACCCCCTCCCCGATAACTATGATGATAATTTTTCATCAATGACCTTTTTTTCCATGACGAAAACACAACAATGAAGAGCTAAAAATAGATCTTGATAATAAAAAGTAAGACAAAATCGATTATTTTTTATCGTCGATGAGACAAGACGTGACGAAAATGTGGTGGACTATCTGACACTGAAAGCTGAGAGCAGCCGTGCTTGTAATTTTCTTCACATGCTGCATAAGAGACAGGCTGGTAAACTCAAGTTAATAGTCCACACCAGGATGTTTACATAGCCAGCAAAAACACTCACACTGGAGCAGCGTGCACCGTTGGTGCGAGTTGTGAGCTGTAATTCAGCAGTAAATAATCAGCCGTGTGTGTCTGACTGTGGATGGTGGAGCTATTGAATGAATTTTGTGGAGTTTGGGAGTTGCAGCGGTGGCTGTTAGCAGTTAGCTCCGGTCATTAGCCGCGGAACGGCAGTGGAGCAAGCGGCCACTGGCCGTCGGACTTCACAGCTGATCCCCGCAGGAAATGACAATTTGTAAGTGTGTAGAAATTATTAGTTGTTGTAGTAAAAATTGTCTAAATTAAATTTCTATACAACCTGTCACCTTGACTCTCATTCACTGGATTAGTTTGACGACCAAAAACATGGAAAACATAATGACTAAAATGTCGGGAATTTTTCTCGACTTAAACGTTTAGAATTTTCGTCAACTAAAACTATGACGGATAAAAATGACTAAAATATGTCTACAACTAATAAGCATTTTTCTGCATTATGAAAAGACTCTTTCCAGCAGTGAAATACTTCTTTAAAGGGGCTTTCCAGCCCGTTCTCATTCCCTGGTCATCATCATCTGCATCAAAGTCATTTTTTCATTGCATGCTACCATTAAATTATTTTTCTAAATCCCTGTTTGGATGGCATTGGACTTATGAGTGACACTGTTGATAAAATCTCAGAGTAGAAACAGGTCAGCGTGTAAAATTAGGGCGAGAAATAAGGTCATCAGAGCAGGGAAGAAAGCACATCACATTTAAAGTTTATGGAGATAAACAAAGGAGTCCGTACTATCGCTCATCTCCTGCGGTGTTGGATCCAGAACTTGCCAGCCGTCATATTTGCCTGTTTCTGACAGGTCAGGGCGCTTCATGTACGACTCCGTCCACACGTGGAAGTTCCTAAAACACAAAACAGCATTCAGATTCTGCCACAGTGGTGCAGTGAGACTGAAATACATCACTGATAAACTGGATTTAGAAGAACCAGAACATTCTGGTCCAACACACGGCCTCCTGCTTGTTTATGGTTGACTCTGTGTGTTGAATACAAACCAACTAGCCAACAGTTTGCAAGGCTGGGGTAGAGATGCATGCTCAAAAGAAAAGCCAACATTTCTGGTTGGAAGGAGAAACACAACTACTTTCAAACATCATAAAAGACTTGGATATCAACAGGTTTGTGGCTATGCGCAAATATGGTAAACTTCCCTCAACCACCTTTTCAAGAAGGTGAGAAAAACATTTTATTTTCTTCTGTTATCAGTAATGTGAGACAGGTAAATGAAATGAAACAGGTGCAGTTAACTCCGTATCATCTGAACCATCCAAAAAGTCAAATGAAAATAGTTAGACATTAAACTAGATGCAAAAAACACGCTCAAGTACACACAAAATAACAACAGCTACAGCAGGCTCCTCCCAGTCACAGCTCTCTGCTGCAGACGAGTGCATTGCTTACATCAGCAGAGTGACATCTCTGTCAGTCTGCCCTGAGCATCAGCATTGTTTGTCACTGTTGTAAAATGACAACACTATTAGAACATCTTAATACAGGCAGCCTGATGTAGGCAATAACCCACCGTTAAGTTGAACAACAAGTATGATAGTCTGGCGTAAAACCACACCGTCTCCCTCCAACTCTCTGCCAGATTCGGGTTCAACAGCTGCCTGGTCGGACGGCAAATTGCTTTCCCACGTCCACAGGTCTTATTAGACCAAAACTTAATTTGAAATATTATTTACGTCTCCCACATCACGCCTCTGATAATTAAATAAAGAAAAATGATATGCAGTTTGGGGCTGCGGTGCATAAAGAGGGCAGAGGAGGAGCATGTTGGTTTGGTTTCCACCATCCTGGAATAGATGACATCACGATGGGGTCTGATCGCCAAAGACATTTCTCATACCTAAGTGCACCTGTAAATAAATTCTCTAAGAACGAGTCTCTCCTGATTAATGATATGATGATATAAAGATATGGGTTCACAAGAATTCGACGGATGATCAGACGCACAACCCGAAAACACAGCCACAGCTATCACTGGCATGAACGCATAAAACATTTAAAATGTCAACAGTATTTAGTCATATTGTTTTCTGATGTTTTCTGTTTTTCTGGGTGGAGAATGGCGGCGTGCACAGACGCAGCGGCTCAGTGCTCTCTGAAACCTCCAACTCTGAAACCGCACATATCCACTATGTGAGTGGATATGTGTGGGGCTGAGTGAGTCATCGCTCTCATACAGTTCAGATGAACTCTTAAATATTGGAATTGATTTGGGATGATTGTGTACACGTATGTGTTGTGTATTTATTACTGTCTATTTTTCTTATTTTTATATTCAGGCACGGCACAGCAAATTTCATTGTACTTCCTGTGCAATGACAATAAAGTCTATTCTGATATTTGAGTATAACACTTAAGGTGTTGGGAAAGACCCAAAAAAAAAAAAGTATTCAAAGCGTCATGGCATGACATGCTGTCATGATAATAGGCCTGAGAATGTGTTTAATGTGAAACCTTTTTACTCTGATCCGACCTCTATAAACTGGGAACACTTTCTCATTAAAAACATGGCAGATTATCCTTGTTAATTTGGTTTTTATTCATTTTTGTCATTTACTCAGCTGTAAGGAGTGGCACTGGTCTGGCACGATACTTTACACACCCATGGGAATTTACAAGGCAGTGTGTCCATGAATAATTCAGCAGCATGTGAATATTATATCAGCACAGACATGGAAAAGGAATCTTTAAATAAATTCGAAAACGTCTGTAACGTGTGCTGCTAACTAGCTAGCTAACAGCTTAAAATAACTTGTGTAGTGTGACAGCATGGGTCCTTTTTTTTCCTAAATGCAGTGATATTTTTTAAATATTATTTTTGAATTATGATTGTAATGTTTTGTATACACATAATCTATCCACCTTATTCTTAGCCCCCATGATACCTTGCGTGAACTAGAAAAGCATTCAGAGTGCAGACCTCAGCCAAGTAAGTGATATTCCCTCCCCCTCTGCATCAGATTTTGCAGCCTGCATCACAGTTAGGTTATTTGCATCACTATCATTATTAGGTTATATACGCCTTCACCATGGAGACACTGTGGTGTATTTATTTCATTTTTATTTTGTAACAAAACAGAATATAATATGTTTTTTTGTATTTTTCACTTTCTTTTTTTCCAACACAGCACATCAATTTCAACTTTAGTATTACAACAATATTTAGCAAGTAGAAGAAGACATGCTTTCCAGCCACCAGATGGTACTATTTTCACCGTGTCATTAGAAATTGGAATTGCTGCTGAGGCTGTCAGACGATAGACTTCATTATTTTATCCATTTTGCTTCAATCGATCAACACCAAAATTTTATCATCTGTTCCTTGTCCCATTATCCACCTTTCCTAAAAATTTCATCAAAATTTGTTTGTAACTTTTTGAGTTATTTTGCAGACAAACAAACAAACAAACAAACAGACAAACAGACAACACCGACAAAAACATAACCTCCTTGGCGGAGGTAATTATGTGTTCAACTTCCAGCGTTGAGCCGAAACCGGTGATTTCCAGTGGTAACAGTTTGTTTACAGTACTCTATTCTTCTTTCCAAGAGTAATTGGGAAATAAAACGTGGAACACACCACCTGTTATAGCTCAAACAGGATCATGTGATCATACCTCTGCCATCTCTGACAGCCATCTCAAAGCTTTGTGTTTTTTTTTCTTTTTCAACCGAGCACGCTAGCAATTAACTCACCTTGCTCCGTTAAAATATTAACTTTAACATGGCCCGAGCTAGCTTAAGGTTAACATCTACTCCTTCTAAAGATGATTTCTTATTTCTGATGAATATGAATGATACGAACATAATTCAGTATTAACTGTAGCTCCATGTAAAGTGAATAAATGTGATGCTTCACAGCTAATCCTCCGCTCATCTGCATTAGCAATGCAGTTTACACGTTTTTTTAACTTCCGATATAAAAACTGTTCTGAGAGAAACATGAAGCTGAATTTAGCAGCAGACTTCAGTTATAGTCATATAAAGTAGTAGTTAAAAAAATAACTTTTGGCATTCGTTTTTTTATATGATATAATGGACGTACGGTAAATCAGTAACACATTCTCAGCCCTAATGACTAAATACATATTTCAATGTATGTCGCTGAGTTTATTTTACAATGAGCAATTTTCTAATGTAGATTGAGAATGAAGTCAGACGGGGAATGACAGGGATCATGTACTGACGTTGAGTGACGGACCTGTCAGTCTAAGTGTCATTCTCTTCTGCTAATTCTGATTTGATATTTTTTCGCGATGTCTCGTGAAACTTTATTTCTCAAATCAATGGCCCTCAGGAATAAGGTGCATATGATCAGTCGGTCACATTACAGATCAATGTATTGAATTTAAGGAAACTGGAAACTGAAGGACAGAATGTGGTGGGACATGTTTTACTTTTGATGGACTTGTATTAAAGCGCTGTGTGTCTCACCAAACACTGTCATGGGTCTGTTTTGGTGTGACTCCCTCTTCGGCGTAAAACCGGTCGATGGTCAGATTCCCATTGGTGTCGTGGGCTGACGCAAAATTGGTGATCGTGCGGGTGGGCACACCCAGCAGACGCATCACTGGAACCAAACACAAAGATTTGAGTCATTCCAGTAAGTCCCAAACCTAAACACATTCAATCTACAATCATATAAAACAGAGAAGAGAAACAAGTCCATACATTTGAGTCAAAAATTGTCAGTTAAGTTTGCGATGACTGGAGTTGATAATTATCTTTACATATGTTCCAGGTGTGGGACCTGCAGAGTGAGACGTTACCTGAGCACATCACACCAGCGAACACCCAGCACTGCCCGTACTTGACCGGTTTGCAATCACTGTCGTACCAGCGTTTAAGGATGGCGTGACTGCCACTCCAGTGAGAGGGTGAGAACCCGTCTTCATAATTGCCTCCCCAGTTTCCCTCCAAGACACCGTGGTCATCTTCAGAGTTGATCTGGAAGAAAACAAGGAAACTCTCATTCTTACAATGTGACTTTTTTTTGCCTCAAAATCACAACTCCAAAGAATGACCCTAAAACCGTGTCACATGAGAGACATTTGCCAAGTCTTCTTAATGTTTTTATATGTGGCCTTTCTAACAGGCCTTTCTGTATAATGAATAATTTTACTTTTAACCCTTTAGTGATTTGACTGGCTGTGGGGGAGGGGCATGAAGTGGATATCATGGGAAACACTGAAGGTGGGGATGGGTCATGTGGCTTCATACCACCGTTCAAAAATATACTGATAAGGAACCATCCCTTTATTTCTCTCTCTCACACACACATACAGGAGCTAGTGTGAAATTACATAGGAGAAAAACACAGTTTGAGCACCTACTGCTTCACCAACCTGCCTCCCTGCACAGACGAGTTCTTGACTCCACAGTGTCGCATGTCAAAGTATCTTTGTGCAAGATACTGAACCCCAAATTGCTCCCGATGCCTGTGAATGGTCACTGAATAGCAGGTGGCACCATGTATGGTTGCCTTGGCCACCAGTGTGTGACTGTGTGAATAGTGTAAAACCACTTTGAGTGGTCAGCAGACTAAAAAGAGCGCTATACAAGGGCAGTCCATTTACAATTTACTCAAGTAAGTTACCCGAGTGCTTCCACCACCACCACCATCTTAGTTTATCATGTTAGCACAATAATACTTGCTAATTAGCACAGAAAACCCAAAATAAAAACCCTTCTTTTACTCTCATTTAGGGGTTGAGACTTTAATTTGTTGCAGACTCCATCCCCAGCCCCAACATGGCATCACTCTGAATCACATAACGGCTGGATTTTGACACACAACAGTCAGAAATGTCGGCCTGTAAACGCTTCGCTGCTGTAAAAGGTTCGTGGAGTTGTCTTGTGTCCTACCATGGCGCTGATCACGCGGCCGACGTAGACGGGGTCGCTGCGAGAGGCAACATCTTCAGCTGGGTTCTCATAGTGTTTGTGGCTGATGTCCAACATCTTTAAAGAAATTTTCACCATGTCTTCCTCAAACTGGACAGAAGCAGACAGGAAGAGAGGTGAGGAGGTGCAAGTTCATGTTACTGATGGTAACACAGTGGTGTTAAACTGAAGATGGGATTATTATGTAAACTTTATAAGAGACATCATCTGCTCTTATTTTATATCAGACTGCAATTATTGATTATTTATGACATATAATAATAAAACCTAGAGATGCATGATATACTGAATAAAGGCTACGTATTCAGTAGTGGTTAAATTTCACAATTAGGTATTCAGTTGCTTATAAGATTAAAATCTTTATGGCTGTTATTTGTGTGTGTGTGTGTGTGTGTGTACCTGTCCCAAGTCCCAGTCTAGAGGCATGATGTAGTTTTTACTTCCTCTGTACAAGACTCCTTGTTCATTCATCACATACTCCTCCACCTCCTTCGCATTTTCCATGTACACCTGGTCGTCTGCAGAGAGTGAATACATGCAGACAGACAGACAGTGTTCGGTTAAGAAGTATTCAAATACTTTACTTCAGTAAAAGTCCTGCATTCAAAGTCTTACACATAAGATAACATCAGCATTATCAGTAAAATGTATTTAACGTATTAAAAGTAAAAGATAGCAGTATATTTACTCAAGTACTGCACTTGAGTACAAACTTATTATACTTTACTTGAGTTGCCACTTTGCCACCTCCCTAATTATGACAGTTGACACGATTCTGGAAAAAATGAGAATCACGATTTTTTGGCTTATAATTGAGATCACGATTCTCTCACGATTTTTTTCAACATAAAGATATATTGTGCTTATTTCCTGATATAAAAGGAAAAGTAACAAAAATTATAAATAAACAATAAAAAAATATCATTAAATAACAAAACCTGTGCCTGATACAAGAGACACAATGCACATAAACTCTGGTCAGCTTGAAGCTGAAGTGTTTGGGGCACCATTACCTGCTCAGATTCAACTAAATGCTTCAAAACTCATTGGACGATGCTTCACAGTGCAGATGGACATTGACCTGAAGCATATTGCAAAAGCAACCAAAGACATTTTTAAGGCAAAGAAGTGGAATGTTCTGCAACAGCCAAGTCATATCATCTGACCTGAATCCAATTGAGCATGCGTTTCTCTTGCTGAAGCCAAAACTGAGGGCAAAACATCCAAAACACAAGCAGGAAGTGCAGACGGCTGCAGTAAAGGGCTGGCAGAGCATCACCAGGGAAGAAACCCAGCATCTGGTGATGTCTATGTGTCCAACACTTCAGGCAGTCATTGACTGTAAAGGATTTGCAACCAAGTATTAAAACTGACTATTTAATTGATGATTATGTTAGTTTGTCCAAATACTTATGAGCCCTTAAAGTCGGGGGACTGTGTGAAGAAATGGTTGTAATTCCTACACGGTTCATACTACATTTTTGAAAAAAGCCTTAAATGAAAGCTGAGAGTCTGCACT